CTCTCTCTCCCCTTTGATTTTAGTTTTGTAAGCAAAAACATTTGGATTGAATTCAAATAAAAAGCTTATGTGAAGTAAATATAGCTATTTAACAGATAATGAGTGCTTTGTTTTAGTTAGACAATAATGATTATATTATTCCATGCGAGCTTAGCTTATTAAAATTGAGCATATTTAGTTTTACCAACTAAATTTAATGATTATTTACTGATTAGTAACAAATAGTATTTGTATTTTAATTATTAAAATGATTTATTAATGTAAATAAATAGTAATTATTGTAAATGTTCATGATATAATTGACATTTAATTATTATGATTAATAGCATTTAATTTAATAATTATCTAATTTATTAATTAATATAATTTGCTATATTTTGTGTATTACATTCAACGAACTATTCTTTAGTTATTATCTCTAATATAAAAAAGTAAACATGTTTGTTTCAATATCTTATACTGTATATTTTACAAATAATAGATTTATATAGTAATTGATTTTTAATAAATAAATATATTAATTTTGATGTTTAATTACATTATAACGACATGTAAAATAATCAATTTAGATGTGTAACTTTGTATTCCAAAAATTAACATTATCTAATAATCATATATAAAATACAATGTTTAAATAAAATATACAGCTTCCATATATCTTTAAAATAATATGTAATATAAATGTCTAGGTATTCTAATTGTTTTATAATTAATTAAATTAATTTTTAAAATATAACACAATTGAAATGTATTTGTAAATAAAATTGAAAACTTAATTAAATATACAGTATTATCACAAGCCGGTTTAAACATTATAATGATTAAATAAATAATAACAAAAAATTTATTTATTATTTGGTCGAGGTCAAATTAACACTTGCTGCCAAATTGCCACCATCGGCCACAAGAATAGTACCGGTGATAAACTGTGCATGGTCACTCGCCAAATACATAACTGCTTTGGCAATATCGTCGGGCACTCCATGTCTGCCCACCGGATACCTGGCGCTCACCTCTCGGTAAAACCTGTCGGTGTCCTCAATAGCCTCACCACCTCTTGTAGAGCGCGCGAGTGTCCGCACAGCTCCGGGACTTACATTTCATGTTAGAAATTTAGTTAATTAATCTAGTTTGTAAATAAATAATTTATGTTTACCAACCTCACTGCATTAACCCGGATGCCTTTGGGCCCCAGTTCAGCTGCCATGCATTTAGTAAACATATCCAGGGCACTTTTTGTCATACAATACCCAGTTAGACTCGGGACCTAAGTATTCAGTTTAGTTAATAATAGTTTTATTAATTTTGATGTAATATAATTACTGTCATATTTGCGGCAATGCTTGATATGTTGACAATATTTCCTTTTGTTTTCATTAAATAGTCGACCGATAATTGTGTCAAAATAACGGCTGACTTAACATTAGTGGCAAACATTTGGTCAAAAGTTTGGCCAAAGTGTGGGTCAGTTATACCGGTGTTGAGACCAAAGCCCGCGTTATTGACCAAAACGTCAAGTCTATTNACTTCTTTGCTCACATCTGCCGTCACCTCCAGTGCTGTCAACCCATTGGGCGATACGTCTGAGCACTGCTTCCCGACTGCACTGACTCTCTGTCCGTTACGTCCGGTCACCACAACCTGTGCTCCCGAACGGGCGAACCCAACAGCAGTGGCCGCACCGATGCCGGCGCTCGAGCCCGTGATTAGCACTACTTTACCGCTAAAGTTATATACAGCGGACATCACAACACTAAAGGGTACTTTTAAACAGTAAATATTTTGTTATTATAAAATATAAATAAAAATTAAATTTTTGTTTTATTATTACATTGTTTAGTAAACTTAAAGTTAGCGTTTTTATTAAACATTGAACTTGGTTTTATCAATTTTATTGGAATTTATCACAAAGTTTATAGATTGTTGAAATATGACATATGAAATCTACTACTTAATATGATTAACCATCGTATGATTATTGGGTATATTTGCACAAGCTAAACTTATTTAAACATTTTATTCTTGTATTTTAAGACATTCTCTCCTAAATATTAATTAAGATTTAAAAGTATTTCATTTTTATTAAAAATTAAAACATATTATAATGTCTTCCCGACTCTTCAAGACTTGGGGTATGTATTGATTAATTGTTGAAAAATAGTTTTGTTAAATGTTTTATTATATCTTATAAAAAAAAATACATTTCAAAACTGTAAATGTGTCTAATGTACTAAAAAGTACCAAGACACTCACTTGATTAGTTTTATATGTGGTGAATAAATTCCTACGATGTAATTTTGAATATAAATTTATTAATTTTAAAAATAATTTATAAAGCTTAATTATAATTAAATAGATTTATGAATTAATATTATATTCACTTTACAAATAATTATTAAAGTAAACCAAATTTAAACTTGGTTTCAATCACTATTATTTATCGGAGGTTTATTTTAGGTTCAATAAGTGATTATTTTCTAAATTAAAATAAATATTTTCTATAAACTAAATGATAAATAACACATGTTTATTGTATGTTTATTTAGTAATGTTAAAATTAAATGTTTTTAATATTTGAGTGCAAAATAAGTAGTAAATGTTTAGTACAACTTTAAGACAGGGGTTGTATGCCTTAATATCAATGTGATTGGTATAAAGTCTAATTGAAGTTCATGTGCACTATCTTAAAATTTAATTTTGAATAGGGTTATGGACAAAGTAGCTCTAATCATCTATTATTTATAACTCAATGGACAATTTATCATACTTAAACATTTCTTATGCAATTATGCACTCATTGCAATTGAAGGTGTACAATAAATTATATAGAAAGTAATTAGGATATATTTTACATAAATTAAGTCAGATTGAATTAAAGATCATTTTAAATTTAATTGGAGTAAATATATTAATTTGCATAAAATTGGTGGAGGTGCGGGGTACGATCACGGTATACAACAAGTTCGCTACCTCGCACATCCACCTTAATTAAATAAATTAATTTTTCTATGTAAACCACTCAATTTACATATGAATATAAAATTACAGTTTATAACTATTTTATTGTAGAGTTATTTTGCAAAAGTTATTGTGAACTATTTTATTATATTAGTTAACAATTATCATTATTGTTGCTCTACAGAGTCAATTTATATTGATTATAATAATTTATTATTATTTTAATAAAAATTTTGAAATTACACCAGGTTCATTTAAGCCATTCATTGTGAAACTATCGAGATGCGTGTCATCGCACCAGAGCAAAACAACGCGCATGAATTTACTAGACTTTGAAACCAAAAAATTGGCCAACGAGAAGATCACCATGCTCACATGTTACGACTACACGAGCGCACGCATTGTTGCCGACACCCGTATAGACTGCCTACTAGTCGGGGACAGTGTGGCGATGACTGTACACGGCTTCAAACACACGGTGTCGGCCACCGTAGACATGATGCGCGCCCACACGGAGGCGGTGCAGAGGGGGGCGCCCAACAAGTTCATTGTCAGCGATCTGCCATTTCTCAGTTACCGGCAATCGTTGGACAGCAGTATACGGGCGGTACAGACGTTGGTCCAGGCGGGCGCCCACGCCGTCAAACTGGAGGGCTCGGCCGGCAATCAGCCCCTCATCAAACATATTGTCGAGTCCGGTGTGCCGGTGATGGGCCATCTGGGGCTAACACCGCAGGCTGTGCTCGGTTTGGGTGGCTATAGAGTGCAGGGGAAAACAGAGGCAGCGGCCAAACACCTGTTGGACAGTGCGCTCAATTTGCAGGACGCGGGCTGTTTTGGTCTAGTATTGGAGTGCATACCAGCGCTGGTGGCCAAACATATTACTCAGGCGCTGGCCATACCTACTATAGGTATAGGCGCCGGACCTTATTGTGATGGTCAGGTGCTTGTCTGGCAGGATATGCTGGGTCTGACCAATGGTTCGAAACTGACCTTTGTCAAACAGTTTCTCGATGGCGGCAAACTATGTAAGGAGAGTATCAATGAATACAACGATGAGGTTAAAGCTGGAACTTTTCCACAACGGGAACATTCCTATTG